CTTTAGCATAACGCCACTCATCCATTCGCGTATGATCGGGCTGATTTGATATATATATATATATATATATATATATTATATAAATACACATACATTATTATTATTATTATACATACGTAGACCATGAAATTACGAAGTTACTTATATTGAAAAAGATAAAACTAGAGAAAAAGGGAAAAAATGAGAGAAAGATGATATTCAATTACGATATGGTTATTCGTTATACGGGAATGTTTATTATATCAATTCTATTCGCGTAAACAAGCCAGTCGTATACATATGTATATGTTATATCATTGTGCGTTATCCTGGTCGAAAGACGAGAGAGAGAGAGAGAGAGAGCTCGATTGAATAGCGTGAATTATATAAAATAGTATGTGTGTTACATAAAAAAAGAAAGAAAGAAAAAAGAGAGAGAGAGAACGACAGAAGTTGGTGATTAATAATAATAATAATAATAATAATAAAAATAATGATAATAATAATAATAATAATAATAATAACGATAATAATGATAATAATAATAATAATTTAAAAAAAAAATTAATAAAAAAAAAGAGAAGATGAATAAATAAAAGTTGAGAGACGTGTTATCCCGTCGTAATTATTATACGTTTTAATATCATCTCTCGTGGTTACGAGTTAACGTATAAAATAAAGCCGTCACAGATCGAAGTACGCGCATAATACATATATATGTCTATCGATGATTGGCCTTTTTTTATTTTGTATAATATTTGATCCGTAGAAAGAGAAAGAGAGTGAAAGAGAAAGAGAGAGAGAGAGAGAGAGAGAGAGAGAGAGAGAGAGAGAGAGAGAGAGAGAGAGATAAGAATATTGTAATTGAATTAAAACAAAATTCGTGTTATTGTTTTGAGAAAAAGGGTATCGTATAATGTACGTTATTTAACGCTTTAACAGTCTGAAAAAGAAATACGATCTTCTATTTGATGTATTTATCAAACGTAAATACAGTGACGTCTATAATATATTGCAATAAAAACCAAATACAATAATTTTATCCGTGATAAATACGTTCATTTACTTAAATCCCAATTGAATACTCTGATTGATTTTGAGGAGCATTCTGAAGATTATCTTAATCGCTATCTGTGCACATAGTAGGTATAAATATAATATAAATTATTCTTACCAAAATAAAAAACACAGTAGAATCTCGAAGCTAAGGCACTTATTTTGTTGCTTTGTTTCTTTCCATGTGTCAATAAAACCGATATACATTAGATTTTAATTCAACAAACGCTTATCTATAATCAAAGACTAAATCATCTGCTCCTAGAGACATATAAAAAATACAAACTGATACAATTTGAATTTGAATATCATTGTTTCGTTTCGAATTTAATCTGAACTATGTTAAATTAATACTTACTTTACTAAATTAGAAATCTATATTTTTATCTTCATCTGGTGAAAATTTTTCAACTGGTGATATTGAATCAAGTTCTGGAATGAATTCATCAAATGCAGAAATGTTATCGTGTTCGGACAAAGGAGAACTAGATTTTGAAATAGTTTTGCCAGTTGAGACATTACTTGAAGATGGGTTATCGGCAAAAGTTATAGCTGAAGAGGCAGTAATAAATGGTTTGACTATTTCGAAGTCAATTGATTGAATGACTACATCTCTAAACGACAATGATGTATTCAAAGTTGAGGTATTTCTTGGAGGAGGGGCAATAAAAGTAGGGACGACTGATGAGGTGGGAGGTAATGATTTGACCATTTCGAGATAAGTTTCTTCCAATGGTGGATTTTTCGATGTCGTTGGTTGTTTCAAAGTAGAAACTGGAGAAGTGGTAGAAGTATTTATAAGAGGATTGTCAATTAAAGTGATCATTTTTGATAAGAAGGAAGCTAATGATTTTATTAATTCGAGGTCGATTGGTTGCAGTAGCAAATTCTTCGATGTCGTTGATTGGTTTAAAGTTGAAACTTGAGAGTCGGTATAACTATTTATTAGGGGAGTGTCAATTAAAATTTGTATGACTGATAAAACAAAAGCTAATGATTGTACTAATTTCTGATCAATTTTTTCCACTGGCAAATTCCTCGATGTCGATGGTTTGTTCATAATCGAATATCCTAAGTGGGGAGATGTGTTTCCTTGAGAACTGAAAGATGACAATAGTTTTACTAAATCGACTTTGGTATTTTTCAATAGCATTTTTTTTTTTTTCGAATTCCCAGTTAAAGCTTTCCATTCGGAATAACTGTCGATTACGATCTTGTTGATTTTGTTTATTAGTTGTGCTAATTCAGCGTCGTTTTTTCTTGATAATAAATTTTTTAATTTTGATAATTTATCCACATTTAAAAAGTTCAAGTCGGAAGTGTCAGTGTCAACTTGAGAAGAGGAATCTTTTGAGATGGATTTTTTTCTTTTTGTTAATCCACCATGGGATTGTTTCAATAATAAATTTGTTAATTTTGACAATCGATTACAAATCAATGGAAGGAAATTGGAAAAGATTGTATCCAAAGAGATGACATCTGATGAAGCAGCAACAGATGGTTTGTCTAATTCGTGGCTAGTTCTTAATGTTGACTCTTGATTTAAATTAGATTCCTCATCTGATTCCGGAGTTAAAATTTTATCCATTACGTTCGTTTCGATTACCGATTTTCCCCCTTCTGAACATGATGATGAATCTGATTGTAAGCTTGATGAACTTTCTTGTCTCAATGATTCTAATTTCTTTCTTTCGAGTTCTTTTTCCTCGAGTTCTTTTTCCTCGAGTTCTTTTTCTTCCAGTCTTTTTTTTTCGAGTTCTTCCTTTGTTTTCTTGTCGTATTTTTTCGCGGCGAGTACCTTTTTTGATGTCTTTTTTTTACAACGATATTCTCGAGGTACTCGATATTTCTTTCGCTTTCGCGGGACTTTATCTTTTGAAGGATTCATCGCCTACCCTCACTATTAATCTATATCACGTGTATTCTTTTCTAATTGAATGTATACAAAGAAGGAGAAGAGAATACATTCAAATAAACGTTCCAATTTAGGTTTACCTAAGGTCCATTATAAAAACAGAAATCTCACGAGTTTGTCGTCTTCTACAGCGAAGAAAACTTACTTCTTTGCGAAAACCATCTAGGTAAGAAATGCTGCACTCTCTTATTGTTATTCACAATTATGACGCGTTGAATTTGTTATTAAAAAAAAATTAATAAAGAATTATATACGAATAAATTCATTTAACATTGTGCTTTAACGTAAAATTTCAATATATATAAAACATATATATATCTCTAATACTAACAAAATATAAAATATAATTTATTTATCTTAATTGACCACACTTATATATAGTTACCGATTAATTACTTTCTGCAAACTGTGTAATTTCTACAACGTGAAGTAGATTTTATGACGGTTACTATTGTACAAAAGAAATGATCGATTCTTGATCCTACCTAGGTCAACTATAAGTACTCTTGGTATTTCGATAGCCAATGAACGCGCAGAATAGATTGCCGATAAATGACGCAAACACGTTTCGGCCAATCGCGTCGCATAATTTAAAATGTAATTTTGAAAAATAAAATTATCGACAATTAATGTTCTACGTATGGAATTCTGGGTAAAGTTTTATTTAGGAGACTTTGAAAATATTTATCTTATTGTCCTACGAAAAGAAGATACATGGAAATAAATTCGTGTTTAATATAACACGCGAATGGCTACAAATTGTTGAGAAAATTCTTGCGGCAGTTTTAAATCGTGATACATCATCGATGAATTCGAACTTGTAAGATTAATTGTTTTTAAATATTGCAGTAATATATCGCTACGTAAGTACAAAATAATATGACATTATCGCGAGGAATAATAAATAATACTAAACTTGCAATATTTTGGGGTCTTCTTTTTGCATTATAGTTTTAGAATAAAACTCGATCGGAATGATATACACGGTTATGTTAGAGTATCAATTAATTTTGAATGATAGAAACGGGTAATCGATTGTAATTCGTTCGAATTCGTATTAATCGTACTCTCCTAGACGATATTAGAAATTACGCTTTCACGTGCGACGCCGCTCGCTATTCATTAGATAAAAATATTCGAAGCTAAGATATACTTTCCTATCCGTTATATATAAATTTATACGTGATATAATTATTAAAATGCAAATTTCTAATCGTAAATAAGAATGTTTGATAGAACTAAACGTAAATCATGGGCGAACTATATCTTGTTAGAAGTCGAACAAAGTCACGAACGCTAAAGGATTATCATGACTGCTAGGACTGAGAACGTTACATTTCTTAAGAATACTCCTATCTGAAACAAAAAAAAAATATAAGTTTGGATTGAAAACCTATTGGTACCAGGGACAGACATGAGGAAGTACAATAGCGTGATTCGTAAATTTCGTTCAAAGCTCCACCATGCACAGGTTATTACCACTTTTATCGATCATTTGAAAATTCTTTAATGAGATATGATATATTTTCATATAACAGATGTTTTCTAATCGTTAATTTGATAAGAAACTTTTAATTCTGCTCTCTCCTGTCTGGAACCTACGCATATATGCGAGTACAAGAAGACTTTGTGTGGTTTTGAGAAAGGTAAACGTCGAGTTAAACGAAAGTACTCGGTGCCTCATGGTGGTCCAGACAGCTTATTATTGTTATAGACGACATCACAAATCAATATATCTATTATTGGAATGTAGCAGGAGGAACTCTCGAGGATCAATCGAGCGTGCATTTTCATCGTCTTTTGAGATGACGCAAAAGGAGTCATAGGACAGTCGGTCGTTAATCGTTTTCGAGTATGACGGAAGGACGAGAAAGGGAAAGGGAAAGATAATTCGAGAAGATACTCTCTTCGGAGGCAGGCGAGAGTATTGATTTAAGAGGTTCCCTCGAGAGCGAGCGAGAATGAGATAGAACAGAGGACGGACGGGCGGACGGACGGTCGGTCGGACGGACGGACGGAGGGTCGGAGGGGATTTCCTTTGGAAATGTGCGTGGCCGAGTGTCGAGGGAGGCTCGGTTGGTGTGGGTGGCTGAAAAAAGCAGATGTGTGCGCGCGCGCTCCTTCCTCTCTTCTGTTTTTTGCGTTGCACGAGCGATCCTCGCTCGTTTCCTGGCTGCCACGCCGGCTGGCAGACCACTGCACGTGGTGTCTAACGCTATATGACAGAGAGAAAGAGAGAGGGTGAATATAGGAGAGAAGGTCATACTGTGCAACGAAAAAGGGTGAATAAAAAGTGCTCGTTAAATATCCTTTCTTCATCGGCAAACTACTACGGTGACTGCATATATAAATACTAATGACGAGAGATTTGTAAAAAGTTTAGTAAGTAAACGCATCGATAGTTCGATATGTGTATAGTAGGTTAGGTTAACCTTATCAGAGAAAGAAAGAAATAATTGTTCTAACGAAAAGGACTCGAAGCTTTCGCTCGGAGAGGAAGAAAGCGTCGTTGGTCGAGAGTTTCCCCCACTCCGGTGTACCGTCCCCCTCTACTCGTAGCATCGTTCGCGGTGCGTTCGCTTAGGTTCTGCTTTTGCTTCGAAGACTTCAGACTCGACACTCGGTTCGTTCGGGCAGTGTCGTTCGATGAGTTAGTTAGCGAAGAAATAAGGGCCCTACGCGTTTGCGACCTCGGCCGATCGGTTAATTCGTCTCCTCCCAAGTGTTACTTATTCTTACGTCTGCTTCTTTACCTCCTCGTTCTTCGAATCATCTTGAACAACGTTGCAACGGACGAATCCCTTCAAGGACGACCAAGGACTTCTTTACGAATCTTTCGAAACCAGAGCGATGTTCCTTGCGATATTTCGGGTAAGAAATATTTATACCTTTCTATTATATTTTATTCTCCTGGTGGTTCTAATATAATAATAATCGCCGGTGGCTTCTTGCTTTCTTATTCGATAGAAATTCGTCCGCGCCCTTTTGTGACAAAAGTATGTTACCTTTTCTTTTTTTCCTTCTTCCGTGTCAAGTGTCACAAGCCAGTAATAATCTTGTCTCCTAGCGTGTCAAACCTGTTCTACCCTTTTTTCATATTCTAGTACAGGGGGTGACACGCGTCCTAGTATAAAACGTGTTTTATATTATTACTGAAATTCCGAGAGAAAGATGAAGATAAGCGCATCGTCCGAACGTTCACGCGTTACATTACTTTACCGTTATTATAAATACGATCATGCAGATCGTACGAGCACGCAGTTCTCCTTTTTCAATTTCGTGCACCGTATATATTTACCGTTGCATTTTATTACTAAAAAAGGAAATCAATAAAAGCAACTAAAAATTGACGAAAGGATATGGCGATCGCTTCGTGCAACGAATGTCTTCCTAAAGAAAAAGAAAAATTGTCTAATCGTAAATCGTTTTTTCGCCAGTTTTGAATCAACGAAAAGGGAGAGTGCATAATATCGTTGATTGATCGTGTTTCTATAGGTATGCATTATATATATAAAGTAGACATCGCGTTGAATTTCGCCGCAAATAACGGGAGCTCGATGGAAAAGCAAACACGCGTCTACATTTTTTCTCTCGTTCGTTATAAATATATATATATATATATATCGGTGTAGGCATTCGCATTCGCGAACTCTCGAGGAGAGTAGCCCTCTTCCGTAACGCGGTTAATTACCTGCCGGATGCAAAGCATGCATATTCGAATGCCAGCGCTCGGGTTTTAAGATAAACACGACGGGAGAATCGCTTAATCCAGCGTATACTTCCTTCCATATCGATCGACGACTTTTTTTTATCTTTTTACCACGTGTCGCACGGTTATTATTTGAAGATAAAGATTACGTACCGGTTAAAGGAGGTGTCTCCTACAGTCAAAATTAGTATCGTTATTGTCGATCATCTCTTTCCCTATCTTTTACAAATTGTTACAAAGCGAAGAATAAAGGATTCAAACGTGGCATGTTATCTAATAAAATTAAAAAATCAGCCGATTATGATAACGTTTGGTATTCAAAATAATATGAATATGACAAATCGTGCTTTTTTGTTGGTATCTTGAACATTTATTTGTTTGCCTCTGGAATCCTCATACATACAAAGTATGTATTAACGAAACAATTGTTCAAACACGAGACAATAATTATAGCAATGTACGCATATATACATCAACTATCTATGTCGTTAAGCGTATTACAGCGAATAACACGAAGTCGTTTTGTGCACACTTGTTAATTACTACGAATATGGCATTTGTTAATTCGTGCAAATCGGTTGATCGATCATGCGACGAAGCAAATAATATCTTTTCTTATTTGTTTTTTATAATAATAAGCTTCGTGATATGAAGAAATCGTTACGTAATAAAGTTCTCTCATCGATCTTCCATATTCGTTCCAATTTTCCTTCATTTAGATTTATATTTCAACGTCGTCGCGTCGCTGAGAGATAGAACCTTAGTGTTATTATATTTGACAACGTTTGTTTATTTCTATCCAAGCGAGAACGGGAGAAAGAAAGAGAGTTTAAATCTTTCGAAAAAAGAGGTCATACTATTATTACACTTACTCATTCTCTTCGTTTCGATCTCAATAGCAATTAGATTAAATCTCCATTTCTATTATTATCATTTGTGCAAATAAAAAATCCTACGAAAATCAAACTAAATTATAAGTATAGTGAAAAAAAGTAAAATTTAATTATAAATTATATAACTGATCAATTTTTACATATAGTCAAATTCATTTTTACAAACACATATATATATATATATATATATATATATATATATATATATATAATAGAGCATTGTGCAGTAATGCACAATCACCATGTAAAATCAGCTCGATGAGTATATTTAAAAAAAACAATGAAGGATATAATAACGTCTCTTTTTTTAGCAAACATCATTTGACGATTTGAAAGCAAGCAAGTCTCACGAAGATCTTTCTTGATACAATTAACGTACCGTAGATTAACTCTCACATGTGACAAGATATCGCTTATGTACGTTGGAACGTATTAGTCGTGTTGTTGCCTTATGAATTCTCATTCGCTCGAGAAAAGCTCAGACCGTGTGTGTACTTCTCTATAGTCGTTTATTTTCTTACTCGCATCTCTTTTTTTCTTTCTCTTTTTGTACGACCGACGTAAAGTCATTAAAGAACTTATAAGGCGTCGGACAATGGCCTGTCGTCTCCTACGAGTTCTTCTTCTTTCCCTTTTCTAGCTTGTTTGTCATCAAACCATTCGAGTCATAATGGACCATATTATATACTACCACAACCCTTCATATGGTACTGAAATTATATTAACAAAGGTGCTATGATTCTCATCATTTTGTACAATTATATGAACTACGAGACGTCATAGTTGAATTTGGAGATTTTCATTATTTGAATATTCATCGTATTTTATGGTTAAATATTAAATCTAAATCAGTTTCGCAAAAGTTACAAATTTGAACAGAAACAAGGATTGTTGGAAATACGAATAGTCTGAAATATTCAATAAAATGACTTTTTTTTATATAAATGTAAATTTGTTAACTAAATCGATCAAAAAAAAATAGACTATTGGAAACTCGTTGATGTTATATTTGGAATTCTCGTTGGTGGTCTCGTTCGCGTAAACGAGGAATATATTGATTCGTACGATTTTCTACAAAATTATCTTAAATTCTAGCAAATGAAGGAAAAGAAAAAATATGGCAATATATCGGTTGTTTTCGAAACGAGCTTATCTTTCGACCGACGTTGCCTCGTTCTTTTTAAAAGCTTCACTTTTATCACTTTCGCTCATGAAAATGCCAAGTAGAAAAATTCACAAATATCGAAGTCTTTAGTTTTCATTTGCGTCCGATAAATTGTTTTTTTCCCTATAGAAATAAACAAAACACAAAAGCAAATACATAATATATTTAAAGCACACAACGTTGACGTTCTCATTTAAATACTAATATATTATTTCATTATTCTCTTGATTTTTTTCAACGTCCAATTACTTGCTCGAATAGACAAAGTCGTAATTACTACGTTTTTTTTTCAATGAATGCGAATGATTGTTTTTCACAGTTTTAACTATAATGCAGCGAGTTTTTTCCTTAAAATCGTACGTCGTTACGCTTGCTAGAAATGTATTTTAGTTTAAACAATCCAAAATATTAATAGAGTACAGTACTGTATTAAATATACCTTAAATAATTGTTAATTCATCGAAAAGAATGTCTGTGTACCGTTGTCTTCGAAATTCCCCTTCAAACTGGCACGTTGTCCTCTATACAATTTCTTTTATTAAATATTGTTTATAAGACCTTCTGAACGTTGCGCATGTGCGCTACAGTAATAATATACCTAATTAATAGAATTTAAGATTAAAACGTTTTGATTTTAGTATTTTGATCATTTTTATGTAATTATTTTAATGCTCCTACGCAATGATGACTTCGAGGCTAAAATTCTCCTGTAACATAAAAAGAGTGCATTAGTGCATTAAAATAATTATTAATAAATCGATAGAAATGTCTGTTGTTATTGAAAAGTTCGGAATATATTATCTATGTATCTTCCCCTTCGAAATCCACAGTTATACTGGGTCATTGTCCTCTATAAAAGTTTTTTTATTAAATGCTGTTTATATGATTTTCCGGAAAAGAAAATTCTATTTTTTAGGAATATTATTCCCTTTCTACACATGCGTAACGTTCGAAAGGTCTTATAAACAATATTTAATAAAAGACATTGTATAGAGGACAACATGCCAGTTTGAAGGGGAATTTCGAAGAGGACGGTACACAGACAGCTTTTAGACAACTATATACATTCTTTTTGATGAATTAACAATCAATTAAGATAAATCGAATATAGTACTGTATACATATATATAAAGAAGTGATGAATGAACGTTGTATTCTTGGAAAAAAAAGGCATTTTAGATAAATTAAATTTAAAAAAAAAATAACAATTATTTACAAAATAAAAAAAGAAAGATGTAATCTATGTTGATACTTTTGTTGACCACTGTATACGTGCTTACATAGAAGAAAAGATATAAGGATTTAATGATACTTATTTGCCGGTACTATGACGACGACGACGGCGACGACGAGAAACGAGCCCTCGGGGAGTCGGAGATAAAAGGATGAAAATCTTCGAAAGGTTTTATAGAGATGCTAAAGGACGAGAGAAAAAGATAGATAGAAAGAGAAATAAGGTTTCACCTTATACGTCGTTTCTTCTTTTTATTAGTGGAACACCTTCTAACGTTGTATACGCAGAAACACACGCCTCGCAGTGATGGTCACGCTCCAAAACTGTTACTTATTAACGTTACTTTAGTCTTCTTATTATCGTCGACAGCACATATTACGAGCGTTAAAAAAGCCATTCTTTTTCTCTTTTACTCATTGCAAATTATGATTTCAAAGATCTCCCTTTAATTCGTCCGCTTTTTATCGATCTTATCAATTTCTTTGTTTTTCTTTCCTGATTTTTAACTAATGCCAATTAACGTTTAGATAAATCGTTTTCTTCTTTTACTATCTCTCTCTCTCTCTCTCTCTCTCCCTCTCTCTTTCTCATTTTCTACAATGATTTATTTGTATTTATTTGTCGAAACAACACAGGGTGAAGATATATATTTGGATTGCATCGTTATTTGCATAATAACGAAAGTTCTTCAACGCTTCGTTTACTTCGTTTACGATATGGTCCAATTCGTTTGTAACATTTAACGAAATTTTTTCGTTTCGTTTCGTTTTTTATTTTTTACCTGTATATATATCTTTTTAGTATTGACAAATGTTTCCGATATGGTTGTGAAAATATTCGAGTGCAAATAGCATTATTTGACGCTAACATATTGCGCGTTTGCTATAGCTTGATGACGTGCCCTAAATCCCGCGGCGAAGTAACTCGAGGAAAGAAAAAAAAAAAGCTGATCGAAAGCTCGTTATTACGTGACACGATAATCAAAGAAATCATCCAGGCCACCAACTCTCTTGGTTCTCTTTCGTTCGATCGACTTACTTAGCTCCTGGCTAAGGATGTAGTCGATTAATAATTAGTTATTTTTCTTTCGTTTTTGTTTTGTTCCCGTCGATGATTATTCGAACGATTACCGGGCGACATTGTCGGTTCCTTTTGCGGAAACATGCTTGCTGAAAGAGAGAAGGAGATTCATTCTCGCGTTGGCCACCCATGCTCGTACGCGTGCCGCCTGTAAAATCATAATAATATAAACAGCGGATACCAGTTTGCATTGAATCCCACGTTAGAGATTGCTTCACGTGATCCGCTCACGATGACGATAGGCTAATGTAATTAAAGAATCAATGAGAGAAATAGGAACGTGGATATTGATATTTGCAAATTTGTTCTAGCATAAATCACGGTCAATAATTAATATTATAAATTGGAAACCCTCTTGGGAAAATAAGATGGAAACGTGATCGGAATGAAAATAAAAATGATCCATCGCGTCGTGTTGGAGACGATTATGAAATCTAATTGCGTTAGGAGTGCTTCTGGGTGAACGCCTACGTGCTCGTAAGACTCGAACCGATGACGGTCGAACTTCTTCTTCTTCTTCTTCTTTCGATGTTCTATTCTCCTCCGATTATTATTATTTCTCCCCCGAGCCGTGTCGCTCGCGTTCATTGAAGCTGCACGGGCGAACGCGCAATGCAACTCGTACCTCTTCCTCCGATTAAACTCGATCGTTAGATGGTCGTTGACTTTATGTCACGTATACGTGCGTCTACGATGATACTCCCTGCAAATTACCGGATACGTCGCTGTTACTTCGTTTTAATGACAGATTTCATTCATTTATTTATTTATATATTCAACTATTTATGCCGAACACTCGGTTCATTTGTTTCACCTACGCCAGAGTTTACAAGAGTTGCATTTATTTTCTTTTTTATTCAAAAACATAGATCAATATTTTGTTGTTAATATAGAGAATATATTATAAAAGAGTAAATAATAGCCAAGCCCTATTAACCGCTCGTTATCCCTGTCATCGCAACCCCTTTTCCTCTTTTATTTCGTTTCTTGCAGCCCCTTTTTTCTCCCAGCGAGCATCGTTTATGTAACAAAAAGGGTGAAGTATTTTTAAGATACGTTTTCTATGTAGGAGGAATAACATCATTTTCTTATGTATATTCATCGTGCGTTGTTTTTCTCAATCCTTCTTTTTACCTTCGAATCAACTCGTGAAACGTTTAATGGAATGGAAATTAAGGAATTCATAAATAATATGCATATTAGATCATCCAAATGGACCATGCACCGGAATCTTAGCATCCACCTCTGCGATTTACACCGAAGAAAAATATGAGAATTATGTCACCTGTTTACGACGGTATCTTATTCTAGCATTGCAAAGAAGAATGACATATTCATGGATCGATGTCGAAGGATATTCTGCCTACTCGATTTCTCCTTTGCGTGATGTGTACGCATACATTTTTTTTCTTTTTTTAAATGCATATACAAATGGAACTTTAGCGTTTGTCGTTGTTATTTAATTTTTATATAATTGACAAACATGGTTACACAGGTATCAGTAATACGATATTCATCGTTATTTAATAGATCACTATTTTTATAGAAATATCCTATAAAGTATCCCTGTCAACAAAAAACTCGCATCTTTTTTCGAATCATCGAAGTCTCCAAAGTGCGCAAAGTATAATCAGTCGATGCATCATTTGTAGAGATATATAAATATATAAGAAAATATAAATGTGCCAGTTTGGAGGAAGGAAAGAAAAAGGAGTAGTACAATACATAAATTTATTGTAACATTCGAAAGTAGCTTTTTCGTATTCGTACTCATGTTCGATTTCTTATTTACTCGTTCCTTTTTTCTTCGTTAGCTTCTTCTTTATTCGCCGTTCGTTCGTTCATTCGTCCATGACGTGCTGTTGGACAAAGGCAATGGAAATCGAGCGTTACCGGTTAACCTCCAAAGGCCTTCCCAACTCCGTTACCTGAGATATCTTTTCAGAAGATGAGATATAATCCAAAAATAAGATCAAAATTCCTATAATCCAAGTACTTAAAATATTCCTAATTGCTTGAAATTACGCAGAAGGATCCTCAATAGTCTGACATTGAGTATTCGGTTGTAGAATTGCATAGTTTTAGTAATTAAATCAAAGAACACCATCATTTTAACCAATTTAATCTTGTTTTTATTTTATAGAGACGTGTACTCGGTAGGTACGAGGATTCAAAAAGATCGCCGATTGGATAAAGCCGGAAAGTGAGTCAAAAGCAACGACGCCATCTTTATCTATAAGGAAAAATAATCGTAAAAGAAAACGCCGATCGGCCTGACAGAAAATTAATTACTAAAGGTGCATCCGATTTAGTGTACCGTATAATCCTGATTACAAATATAATAGAAAAAAAATTAGAAAAAAATATAGAAGGAGAGAAAGAGAGAGAAAGCGAAAGGAAGAGAAGTTGCAGGATGTCTTTCGGTGCTAATCGATTTCCTTCGAGCCAACACACGCGTTATCGCAGCAGCTGGGGACCGTCTTCCGTTTCCGTGTTCGATCGTGCAGACGTACCTAGGCCATCTCCCGAAGAAGAAGAGTACGCCGAATTCTATCACGAACGATTGCACTCGGCTCAGAGTAGGCAACTGATCCCTCTTCAGGAAGATCTAGCCGACTGGATCAATAAAACTATAAGTAAGTCCGATAATACTATACTTATTTTGATTATTTTTAATATGAACCTTTTTCGAGACAAAATTTCAGTGTGCTGCTGCGACTTTCGTGAGAACGCACGCTTGGCTTTTTTTATTGTTGAACCGACCTCGGGAGAATGCAAAAATCGCGGGAAGAACGAGGTCGGTCTGAGAAAATTGTAAATGCGAGTCAGCTGTCGGAAATATGTATATGCATTTATGTTTGGTATATATATATGTGGATATGCATTTATTTCAACAGAAACGTCGATCGTGCTTTTTTTTTATTTTGTTTTTGATATAGCTTCATTCCAATAATGTTTCCAATTAAAAAATTCGACAAAAAGAAAGAAAGAATAAATAATGAAACGATTCTCGAAATAATTATATACGCGTTTTATTTGAAACTATACAATACTCTGTGAGAGTATTCCCCTATTTGATGCATAATTTGCATACACCTATTTTTCTCAACAAAAAAGAAGGTGAAAGGAAGGAAAGGAGTAAACGGCTTGATGGTTACTAATTACAAGACAATTTGCCCTCTCTTTCTAACCAGTTTCTCGACGTTCTTTTATATAACCGTGGCTCGAGTTCAAGTAATTCATATCATTGTTTCAAATCCAAGAGTAGTAGACTGAATTTGATTCACCCCAAGGGAAAAACGGATAAGGATAGAGAACCTCTGGAAAGCTAGGTACGGGGATGAACGGTGTGCTGTTCTCTCGGCGTTTTGCTCGCTCATTGCCACACGCGACGGTCGTGAGAAAAACGATCCTTCAGTGGTTCTCAAACGGTCCAGCCTACTCCATCATCCATTTCACCACGTTAGAAAAGGGTTGCGATTTTCAAAGGAATTTAAACAAATCATTCAATGCAATCCTGTCCTATTAAAAATATTAACAAATATTTATCTATACCAAATAAGAGATGCTAGAAAGGATTTTCTTTCTTTTACCCACGCTTGCCCTATCCGAGCTCGTATACAATTGCAATTCGTCGTCTGACTCAACCGGATGTCGATCGGGTGCCTCTCCTTCGAGTGCCACTTCTCCCTTCTTCACGGTTACCTAAAGCCAGCCGCATTACGCATAAACGCGCCTGTCCACGTTTTTATTATACACGCCTTCCACCTTTCCACGCTTGCGCATCCTCTGACTAACATAACGAGAGAACAAGAAAAAATAAGAAGATGATAGGACAAGGAGGAAGAGAAAGAAGAAGAAGAAGAAGAAGAAGAAGAAGAAGAAGAAGAAGAAGAAGAAGAAGAAGAAGAAGAAGAAGAAGAAGAAGAAGAAGAAGAAGAA